GCTAACCAGAAGGCTGGCAGTTGAAACCCACCAGCCACTCCTCGGTAGAAAGACTAGGCATTCTACTTCTGTAGTGATACTGCCTCGGAAACCCAAGGAGGGGTCGCCGTGAGTCAGGTCCGACTCGACGGCAGTGAGTTTTTTTTTACTTGCCTAATGGTTGTCCAGTCTCTTCTCTGGACTGAAGGGGCCGATCTCCTCGCAGCTCGCGCCATCTGTTTGCATCGTGGACGTTTTCTGCTGCCAGGGGTCAGCTTCCCTGGGCAGGAGGAACAGGCTTCTCCAGTGGACTGGGTGACTGAGGCCCCAGAGCCCAGGCCAGCAGCTCCCAGGCAGTGGACTGGGTGACTGAGGCCCCAGAGCCCAGGCCGGCAGCTCCCAGGCTGCTGCTATCTTTGCCTCCCTTTGCACAGACCCAATGCCAGTGGCCACATCAGGACACTCGTTTCGTCACAGCAGGGCTCATGGGTGGTGGTGTTTCATGAGCCGCCTGTTATTCAGCTACAGGGACTTCATGGGTGAGTTTCGGCTCACGGTTGAGAGAGCATCTCAGGGCAGGAGTCTCAGGGAGTCCTCCGGTCTTGACCGGTCCAGTAGGTCTGGACGTTTGAGTATTTGAGCTTTCGGTCCACATTTTTCTCCCATTGTGCCAGGATCTGTGTGTTATGGCCCTGATCAGAGTGGCAGTGGCAGCCGGGCCCTTCTAGTTCTGGCCTTGGGAGGAGGCTGTAGTTTGTGCAGACTGCCGGCCTTACAGGCTCCTTTCTTCTCCGTCTTTGGTTTCCTTCGCTCTGTTTTGTTTCAGATGAATGGAGACCAACAGTCAGTTGCTAGCTGGCGACTTGGAAGATTTTAAGACACCAGACACTATTCACCAAGTGGGGGCAGAAAGCAGTATTTATGAATTGTATTGCCAGTTGGCCGAGATGTCCCACACGACTATGGTCCTAATCATTCAGACCCAGAACACCAGTCCTGCAAGGTGTTTGGTCGTGTCTAAGAAGTACCCATGACTGTGTCCCTGTGTGCTTTGTTAACGTGTGTGAATATATATGTGTTTTATTACATACTTGAATATATGCACCCTGGTGCATCTTGTATATTTGTGCACACGTTTACACACATACGTACACAACTGTACATAGTGTTTCATTATGTACTCAAGTATGTTGCAAACATGTTTATATACATAGATGTGCACACACACGTACATATGGAACCACACGTGGGCCTTCTGGGTGTTACTGTCCTTGCGGAGTTCTTTCTGTCTTTACCAGCAATGCCCTTTTCCTTGTGTCTCAGTGACATTGACCTTGTTCAAGCAGTGACCTTCACCCACACGCTGTACTTATCTTTCTTGTACTGTGTGACTCACCCAGTGACTTAGGCTTTCAGAACACTCGAGTCCTGGGACCGTGTGGGCGAGGACACAGCTGTTGACATGCTCTTTCCGTTGTTCCAGGTGTGGCCTGAAGTGACAGATCCGGAGAAGTTTGTGTATGAAGACGTGGCCATCGCTACCTACCTGCTGGTGAGGCTGTAAAGGGTCCTTGTCAGCATGCCGTGGGAGGGCGGCCACAGCAGGAAGGGCAGTTAGCAAGGCCACCGAACGCTGTCACTTTGCCAGGGCCCTGTGTGAGGAGCTCTGGTGGCGTAGTGCTTAAGGCATCTGACTGCTAATCAGAAGGCTGGCGGTTCAAACCCACCAGCTACTCCT